GGGACCATGGTGGAAAATGATGGGAGACATGGTGGAGAACGATGGAACAATGATGGAACATGGTGGAACATGATGGAACAATGGTGGACAATTATGGAAACATGATGGAAAAACGATGGAACAAGATCGAAAAATGATGGAACCATGGTGGAAAATGATGGGAGACATGGTGGAGAACGATGGAACAATGATGGAACATGGTGGAACATGATGGAACATGATGGAACAATGGTGGACAATTATGGAAACATGATGGAAAAAAGGTGGACAAGATCGAAAAATGATGGAACCATGGTGGAAAATGATGGGAGACATGGTGGAGAACGATGGAACAATGATGGAACATGGTGGAACATGATGGAACATGATGGAACAATGGTGGACAATTATGGAAACATGATGGAAAACGGTGGAACAAGATCGAAAAATGATGGAACCATGGTGGAAAATGATGGGAGACATGGTGGAGAACGATGGAACAATGATGGAACATGGTGGAACATGATGGAACATGATGGAACAATGGTGGACAATTATGGAAACATGATGGAAAAACGGTGGAACAAGATCGAAAAATGATGGAACCATGGTGGAAAATGATGGGAGACATGGTGGAGAACGATGGAACAATGATGGAACATGGTGGAACATGATGGAACATGATGGAACAATGGTGGACAATTATGGAAACATGATGGAAAAACGGTGGAACAAAATCGAAAAATGATGGAACCATGGTGGAAAATGATGGGAGACATGGTGGAGAACGATGGAACAATGATGGAACATGGTGGAACATGATGGAACAATGGTGGACAATTATGGAAACATGATGGAAAAACGGTGGAACAAGATCGAAAAATGATGGAACCATGGTGGAAAATGATGGGAGACATGGTGGAGAACGATGGAACAATGATGGAACATGGTGGAACATGATGGAACATGATGGAACAATGGTGGACAATTATGGAAACATGATGGAAAAACGGTGGAACAAGATCGAAAAATGATGGAAACATGGTGGAACATGATGGGAGACATGGTGGAAACCATGGTGGAAACATGGTGGAAAATGGTATTTTGACCAAGAAACATGTGGATTTGGAATTTATCGTTGATTTATAGTTGATGGTTGGCTAAGGAAAGCATGTAACCTTCATTTCATGGATTTGATGGGATGGGATATCTGATGGGATTTTTTTTTTCATAGTTGAATACACTGAATACACTTGGATTGGTTTTGAGCTGTACAGTTGTATTTAAGCAAGGCCTTGTAGAAAACTCACTAAGTTGGATTTCATAGCATTCGACCATCCCATGTCATGTGGGATAGTCAATGGGAATTTCAGGGTCCAATTGATGGAGGTGCGTAAACGTACCATATTTCTGGCCATATTTTCTGGGGATATTCCCTGAAAAATAGGCCTGATAGATATATATATATATAATATATAATATATATATAATTAATATAATATATATATATAATATATATATAGGCAAACAATATATATGGTACAGTAGGTACCTCCAATCAATCGGATCCTGTTGCATGGCCATTGAGATGGTCATATCTCCATGGATATGTTGACACGGAAAAAATAAACGCACTTCTGGTGACCATAAAGCTGCCATATTAAACATGTACCCTCTGGTGAACTAACATAGCAATGGAAAATGGCCATTTATAGTGGATTTTCCCATGAAAAATGGTGATTTTCCATTGCTATGTTAGTTCACCAGAGGGTAAGTAACCTGACCTAATCGCACATATGATATGAACATCACATCTTTTGTTGAAGTACTGTAATTTGTTGAACCAGGGATTTGAACACTGGCTGAGTACTGATCAACATTATGGTGATTTTTTTCAACTTGGATGCAAAATGCATGCCATGGATGCCATGAAAACCATGGTGTCTTGATGAGCCATTTGACCCATTTTATGGACGCTTCCAGGCGAAGAATCTTACCCGGTCTTCCAGAATGCCTTCATCAGCTACACTCGAATCCAAGGTGCGAAACCCCGAAACAATCCATGGGGCTGAAACAGTGACCAGCCTATAAAAACCAGTGAAAATAGGACAAACATATGGGGCTTTGAGGTTTAAACCAGTGAATTTGCCCCCTGAATTCCTAAATGTTCCCATGAATGCCTCATAATTCTGCGTTGATTTTTTTTGATCACATTCCCCAAAAGAGCCCCGAAGAAACCCTTCCCGCGTGTTCAACAGCCTCACAGAAACCATGTCTGATTGGTGGTTTGGAACCATGGAATTTTATCACGAAAGCTAACGTCAGCTAGCTGGAGTCTTCTTGCTTTAGCAAGTATTCCGGGGGCTGCTCAAGGACATCACGTGATTTTTCACGCGAAAGGGGGGGACCCCCCCCCCACCACCACCACCATCACCACCATCACCACCATCATCATCATCATCATCATCATCATCAGCATCGTAATAATAAATAGTCATAATTCATAATAAAGTAATAATCAGCCGTCATAGTAATCGTCACTAGCCATAGTCAATCGTAATGTCATCGTCATCGTCATCGTAAATTTTTCAAATCATAATCATTCACATATCATCATAATCATCACCAATCACCACCATAACCAATCGGTATAAATCATCGCATCATTCATCAATCTCCCATCATCATCATCATCATCATCATCATCATCGCCATCGTCCTCGCCATCGTCCTCGTCATCGTCATCATCATCATCATCATCATCATCGTCATCATCATCATCATCATCATCATCATCGTCCTCGTCCTTGTCCTCGTCATCGTCATCGTCATCGTCCTCGTCCTCGTCATCGTCGTCATCATCATCATCATCATCATCATCATTGTTATTCACTTACATTTCATCATTATTGGCAATTGTTGGCATTATCACGAAAGGTAGCGTCAGCTCGCTAGAGTCTTCTTGCTTTAGCAAGTATTCCGGGGTTCCCCAAGGACATCACGTGATTTTTCACGCGAAAGGGCCCCCCCCTGCCCCCTCCAACATATATATCATTGTTATATATCATATATCATATATCATTGTTGCATCCTCGTTGGGACGAACAATGCCGCGACACGATGATGACAGTCCCTCCGCAACTCACCTCTTCCCTTCCTTCTTTCTCCTACCCCGCTAGCTTTCGTCATCCACCCCCGGCCTCAAGTGACTTTCCAGAAACCGTTGG